AATGTATATGTATAGTATACTGTTCTTGTTGAAGTTTTGGATGGCTTGATTTTTCTCTAGCTTTATGAGATTGCTGAGGGTTTTTAGTAATGTAAGGTTTTTCTTTTTAGTGAGCCGTGACATATGTGTATGCGTACGTTTTGAAACAATTTTTTAAAAAGGGAAGTATTTAGATTTAAGTGGCACTCCTTGATCTCTGGGACATTTAAAGTGGAGGTTCAAATTTCATTTTTTTGATTGAGTAATTTAGTTCTGTCTGTACTACATTATCCCTTCATGTTGTTTAGTGTTATTGTATGATTGTTGTTTATCTTCTGTTTTAAAGCTTTTATGTAGCTCAGTATTCTCTAGTAACTGTGTTCTTTACGCAATTTGAAATGCTAACAAGAAAGATTGATACTCCAGAATAAATTAAAATATAGTTCTTGTGATAAGCTCTGATCTTTGCAACAGTGTATTTTAATTTCAAAGATAAAATATTTTGTTGATGGCTTCTAAGTGGACATATTTCCTTTCCAGATTCCTATTTTTCAGTCTTCAAGGTAACCCCCTGAAAGCCAATTTTATATGTTGATGTTTGCTTTTGTGTAAGACATGTATTATCCTGAGTTTCTTAATCAGGCAGAGACATATGGAAGGATCAAATATGAAGCTATTTAACAATGATTTTATCATTATTTTGAAAATGATATCAAGACATGTAATTATAAAAATTTAAAAATAAACAGATGGGAAAAATATATATGATAGAATATTATATAAGGTGACTTAATTTTGTAGATATTCTCAAAAGAAAGTTCATTTAGTTAATATTTAGTCTCATTACTAAAAATAATGTTGGATCATCTATTAAAACATATTTCTTATAACAGCAGATAAGAGATTTAAAATAAATGTAATATCAAGGCTATAAATGGTTAGATGAGATGACTCCCATTGGTTATTAAGAAAAAATGTATAAAGTAGTATGTAGCCCTTTAGAAAAGTAGTTTGAAAATTTGTATTACAAAATTTGAAAGTATATATTTGATCCAGAATTTCTGTCTTTGATACCATCTCAAGGAAATAATTTTGATATTTAAAATATGTACTTATAAAGATGGTTAAGGTAGTTATTTGTGAGAATATTATTTTTTTAATAGAAGACTTTAAGTTTTATTTGATGAACTGTTGGGCCAGTGTCTACAACTATAGTGAGTAAGTGCTTATAATATTACTAAAGAAAATATTTTATATATTAGTGACTTTGGTATTGTATTACAAAATGCCACTCATAAATAATTTAAAGAAAGAAGCTGTACTATGGTTGATAGCTTTAGGGGTTCAGTCCATGGCTGTCAGGAAGCAGAGATACTAGGAATTAGCATCATCTAATCTTGTAGGGTGAGACAGTAGATCAGTGGAGAGCATGTGCCTGTTTACATGTAGGCAGCACTGGTTGTGGCCCTCAACTACCCTCCCATTTAAAAAAATACTGTAATTAAGTTTAATTACAAATAAAAACAAGGACATAGAACTAAGGGGTGGATTAAAAAGCTGTTTAGAAGCACTGAAGGTTAATTATAATTTTTATGAGACATTGACCTGCATATAACCTTTGCAAAGTCAGTATGGAAGGAAACCACTTTTGTTATTATAGTCAAATTTTGAGTCTCAGTCTGTTCTGCTTCCTGTGCTTTTTTTTTTTTTTTCCACATAAACATCCATAGAATAGATGTATATTAGTGTTGGTGCTAATTTAGAATTTGGGGAGTATAAAGAGTGGTTCATTTTGCTTCTGGCTTGTGGAATTATGATTTCCACTCCTTTAAAAGGATTTCTTGGATTTAAAAAATTTCTTTGAAAAATATTGCATTTTATCTAGTTCCCAGTTAATGTTATTGGTATTAAGTCTTCTTTTTGAGACATGTTATACTTTTCTGACTTTTCTCATCTAGAAATCCCATCGAGATACTATATTTTGCTAATGAAAGTTGTGTTTGTATTAACTACTCATGACTTTATTTCACAGTTACTTTTTGAACATATGAAATATAATACTCTTTGTAATGTCTAATTATGTAATCTATGTCACTGGTTCACATTTGTTTAATATTTAATGGAAAAATATAGATATATAAAAACACAATTTCAACATATGTTAGGAGAATGCACACCAACCTTGGGAGTCAATCTCTGGGAACACATTGTATCATGCATCTCTGCTAAATTTTCTAGATTGTTAATGTTTGTGTCCCAAATCATATTGTTCGGTCTTGTATTTCTTCAAATAATACAAATCACTTTTTGAAGTAGTGTTTACCAATTTATAATGTTCATATTTGCATACTCATATACATAGAAGCACATCTCTATATACCTATACATATACCTGGGTGCATGAGTATAATGATTGCACCTAGCACTGTGGTGAATATCTCTTCTTAAATATATGCATCTTTTTCTTTAAGATTATTTATTACTGTAAGCAGAATCATTGATTTAGAGACTGGGCATGATGGTGTGCACCTGTAATCCCACCAGGCTGTAAACAAGCAGATCACTATGAGTCTGATCTAGTAGTGAGACCCTGAACACCCTCTAGACCCTTCCCTAAACACACAAACACACACACACACACACACACACACACACACCATCATTGATTTAGAGGCTATGATTTTTATTAGGCTCGCAACATTTTTATTTTGTTGACTTTCACTTACTGTTTTAGTTCTGTTAAAAAAATCATACATAATGTACTAAAGTAATTCTACAAGATGTTATTTAAAAAAGCAATCCTCTGCCTTCTTCAACTGCTCCCTAGAAGAAACCATTTTCAACACTTTAAAGATGATTCTTTTACTGCATACTTGCATGACTCTATATTATGTTTGTATTTTTTTATTTTGTTTTTATTTATTTTGTTTAATTTTAGTACAAGGGCTCACCACACAGATCGAAGTCATAGTGATCCTCCTGTTTTCAGCCTCCCAAGCGCTGGGATTACAGGCGTATAATACCATGCCCAGTATCAATCGTTATCTCAGTGTGTCCAGGAAGTGGGGCCAGCAAGGCCTGGTAATGGAACCCTGGTGGCTGGTCCTGCCAAAGCGGGTACTTTAGTCTACTGAGCTATCTGGCCATCCCTTGTTTTTTAATTATTAATTTGATGTGAAGAACTGACCTCCTAATATTTTCTAATTTCCAGCCCTTTTCCCATCTCGTACATGCTCTTTTCTCATTTCTTTCTAAGGCAACATAAATATATAGCTACATCGTTAGGCAAAATATACTACCTCTTTGTGTTTTAAACAAAGGAGAAGGCTAGCATAGGAAGAAGCTATGAGGGTTTTTGAATCAGTAAGATTTTTTTACTGTATAATGAATGGAGCAAAATGGTCAATAGGAAACTATAGCTTTGTGAGTGAGAGAGCAATCAGAATTATTTCTATTTCCAAATTCTTTCTATTAAATAATTCAAAATAATAAATAATATAATTCTTGTAAATAAGTTCTATTAAATCATTAGAATTATTTCTATTGCCAAAATATAAATAATCAGAATTATTATAGTGAGCCCAAGATTTGTAGCAGAATTATTTATATTTTGGTAGCTGTGTGTGATATTAATTAGAATACAGAAAGCCTGGTAAGATGGTTGGTGTGTGTTTTAATGTTAACTTAAATAACCCAGGTATTGGTTTTGTTTGAAAATTAAAGTGGCAAGCACAGAAATAATATAGTTGCTGATCATTGAGAGCAAATGAGTGCTTTAACAGCAAAACATACCAATAATTCAATCCACGCAGATCAGTTTTCTCACACATATTTTCTGTACATGAGGAGTTTCAATAAGTACTAGTGTAATTCTAACTGTGTGGTACATATAATTAAGGTTTAGCAGTCCTAATGTTGGTACTGCTAGCATATTTCAAAATTTTGCATTTCAGATTTTTACATTTTTAAGAAATTAGACCAGAGAATACTAGTTATTTAATAGCCATTATTCTAAGAGCCTAAATTTAATTCCCAGATAAAATTTTTATGTTTTTGTTCTTTTAGTGAAAAAATTGGAAGAACATAGTAGGAGTACTATAGGTCCTGTGACGCGCACCTGTCATCCCAGCACTTGGGAGGCTGTAAACAGGAGAATCATTATTAGTCCAATCTAGTAGTGAGACCCTGAACACCCTAAAAATACAGAAAAAAAAGCCCAAAACTTTCCTTGTAATACTCTGAAAAATGAAATTTTTAAATGATAAAAGTGAGATTTTTCTTGAATCACAGTGCACACTAAATTTATAAAATAATTTGATCTATAACATACTTTGTCACTTGCCAACTTATTTTTGTTCTGATGTTAGTATAAGAAGTGTGCATGAATTCCAAATTGTTGGCATTTTACATATTTTTATCACAAATAAGTTAATTCCTTTGTATATTTTTATTCAGTAATTTTCATAAATATCTTTCAGTCTAATTGTTAGATCTATTTGATCATGTAAACTTGCAAAATGCTATTGTTTTTCATAATTTAATAATCATTTCTCCACATCATAGATTTTTCTTTCTGGAGTTTTACATAATAACTTTTAAACCTGTAGTAGCCACTTGAGACAATTCTGAAAATATTGGGGATATGTATTTTAGTTAATATTAAAGTCAACTTGGCAGTTAATTTTATATAATCTATTGACATCTATTGACATTACATTGGGTTTTTTTGGTTTTTTGTTGTTGTTTTTGTTTTTTTTTTTTCTACTTTGACTTCAAAATAAGCATGATTTATATCTTTGCCTAGCCAACTTGATCTTATTTTGGACAATTAGTTGGAAATTAAAGTTCAATAGGTAGAAAATGTTTGGAAGACTATTTTTTTAAGATACAGATATTGAAATGGGACCATGTCCAATAGCAAATCTAGGATATTTTAAAAGAAAGTATACATGATATTTTGATACCTTGCTGTGTATTTGGTATTGCAATATTTAAATATGTTTATGTGTTTTTTTACATAGATTATCTTTCTCAAGGAATAGATGTTTCTGGAATAGAAGTAATAGAAAATGATCTACTTTTTATTGCAAGAGCTCGACTTGAAGTGGAAAATCAAGCTAAAAGGCTGCTAGAGCAAGGTGTAGAGATTCAGGTAATAAAAATATCACTTTTTAAATATAAAAAATATGTTATGGTACAAATAACATTTGACTTTGAGTTCAGAAGGATATTACTTTAAATTGGAAAAGTAGAACACATATAAGCACATGGAAATTTTATTTAATCTATTTTCATATGTTTAATTCTACAATGAACCTAAGATTTGTAGCATATAATGTGTCTAATATGAAATACTTTTTATAAGATGTGCATATGTAGATTGGTAGCCAATATCTGTGCATTTGTCTGCGTTGTCCAAGACATCCTTTCAACAAGCCAGTAAGATTGGTATTATTGTAATTTCTGTTTTACAGGGGATGAAACAGAGAGCTTAAGTAATTTAAAATGATCACACAGCTAAAAAATAAGATGTTTTGAATTCTAACTTTAATCACTGCCTAGCACCAGAACCTTGTACCTTAATCACTGTGCCATAATTGGAACTTTTGTTATTGAGATTTCTCTTAAGATACCATTTTCCTGTGCTTAATGCTCTGAAGTAAAAGAAACTCAAAGTTATTAATGAGAACCAACAAATTGAATTAATTCTTTCTGTGTGTTATGTCCAGGTATTTTCTTCATTTGTATCAAACCTAACCATAGCCATTTAATATTAATATAGTATATTCTACATAAAATGTATTTTATATTTTCTACATATATTTCATTCTTTCATTCTATATTTCCTATTTTCTTAACCTGAAAAGTAGTTTTGTTCATTTGTATTGGACAAAAATAGTTATTAATGATAAGCACTTTAATATATGGGGACTCATTTTCTAGTTCTTAAATAGTTGTACTTTAAGAAGGAGCTAGGAATGTAGTGCAGCCACGCAGCTCATGTCTGGCAAGCTCAAGGCCCCAAGTTTGATACCGACTACTAAAAAATAAAAAAAAGATAGAGTATCAGTTTTATTTGTATTAGTTGTATTTTAAAAATAAATCTTTAACACTGAATTCTGGTATACATATTGAAAAGTGAGCAGATCGTAAGTGTTCATATAGAAGAAAATGTGACAGTAAGAGTACACCTGTGAAATTAAAACCCACATCAAGAAATAGGATATTGGACTGGGGAAATAGGTCAGCTGCTTAAGCACCTGCCTGGGAAGCATAATGTCCTGAGTTCTATCCCAGGTACCACATACAAAAAAGGATATTATCACTTCTTAGAATCTTGCACTCTGATAATTATTCTTTCTTGTCCTCAAAGATAGGCATTACGGGCATTGCCCTATCTTCTAACACTAGAGATAAATTTTGTCAGCTGTGTCACTTACGTTTTAGCTTTAGATCTATATGTAAGGACAAATGATTAGCCAGTTTAAGGAGATACAATTATTTAGGTCCTTGAAAGACAAAGACATAATTCTAGGGCCCCAGGAGATAGCTCAGTGGCCTAAGTGCCTGCCTGGCAGGCCCAGGGATCTGGGTTCAATCCCTGGTACTACATGTAGTGCCAGCCTCTGGTGCTGAGCCAGCCATAGAAAATGGGCATAGTGGTGCACACCCATAATCCCGGCGTTGGGAAGGCTGAGACAGGAGGATCACTACCAGGTTGAGCTGCATAGTGAGGCCCTGTGCCAAATAAATAATCAAATCAATCAGTGATTTTTTTAAAAAGACACAGTTTTATTATTCATATTTTCTTCCTTTGATTAAAGGGCCATTGCCCTCCTATAGAATGGCTGCTGGTTTTGACTTTGTAATCTTTCAGTCTATATAAATTTTACCTCTTAGAGGTTTTACAGTGGAAATTGACTTCCTATAAACTGTGTTGCCCTTTTACTTATTAGGATGGCTTTCATATCTTGACACTTTTGTCTTTCCTATGTATTTATTCATGACTTAAGCAGTACTGTTTTCTTTCCATCTCAAATCCATTCATATTGTGTTATCAGTACCTAGGTTGATGAGTGATCTTATACATTAGACCTACGTTGTTTGACACTCACTGGCCCAAACCTGAGTCTAGTAAGCCTTCTCTTCTATTTTATCATCATTTTCCTGTTGCCAGCCTTAGATGATGTCATTGTTAGCATTTTGGTCTACATCTCTAGTGTCTCATTCTTTGACTCTAGACCCCTATTTTTCCTCTCCTGTTCCTTTTAAAACAATATAATCATTTTGTTTATGTAGAATACAATCTTTTTAATTATTGAGAACATCAATGGTCTTTATTACACTATTATTTCCTGCCCTGTTAACCGTATACCTGTTCCCTTCTTTGCTTCTACTGTTCATTTCTATATTAAGTTGTGCTAAGATCTATATCTTCACATGTTTTCCTGACTAGTGATTCTTAAACCTAAGTATGTATCAAAAATTCTGGACAGTTTTCTCTATAAAGTTCAGAGAGGTGAGTACAGTGTCCACAGTTTCTGGGGAGTAGGTCTGCAACCAAGAACCATTGCTTTCGATGATACCCTCAAATTGTTTGCTTCTTATTTTTCTGTCAAGCCTGCAAGCAAAATGCCATCTGTGGGTCCTCCTTTATCTGTTTTTGCTTCTATCCCTAAGCTGTTCAGTGCTGTTCAGACAGAAAAAAACCAGACAACTGTAATATTGATATAATTAAAATTTATGATTCTTCAATGCGGCTGGAATCTTGTTACTTTTTAATATGTCCAGTTCCTTCTATCATTTTACAAATGACTATTTCAAATCTTCTGTATTCATTGTAAACCTCCAATCTACTTCCTTTTCCCTGATTGTCATCAGCTGATCTCATCTCACATTTCACAGAGAAAAACCATGAAACATTAGTCTTTTCTATTTTCTGTCACCTTCACTCTCAAAGATGAAGCTCCATTAAATCATTTACTTTATTATAGGCTGATTCCACACTGCGCTTGTTGTACTGCTTCTGTAGAATCTTCAGCCTTTCCTCATCTTCTTGCAGCATACAAAGATATTAAAGTTTCTCCTATGAAAAAAAAGCAAGCGATCTTCAGTATGAATTATTTACCTCTATAATTTGTTACCTAGCTATTTTCTAGTCTCTTTGCCTCACAACTAAACTTTGGAAGAATAGACTACCCTCTCCTTTTTTGACTTCTTGTGTGGTCCCCAGTTTTTTCTGGGCTATAACATGTCTTCATCAATGAATCTACTTTCAATTATGAAAACATGGACCTCCAAATTTCCCAAAATATTTTTTTTCCCTCAAATTTTTAATTTTTTTTTTCTTTTTTCATTTTAGTATTTGGTATAGGGTCTCACTACACAGCTCAGACTCATAGTGATCCTCTTGTTTTTCAGCCTCCCCCACTCTGGGATTACAGGTGTGCACCACCACACCTGGATTACATTCCTGGCTGAGCATACCCTAGAGGTGGGGTGTCACGCAGAACTAAGATCAAATCCTGGTCCCTGCACTTGCCAAAGCAGGTTCTTAGTCCACTGAGCTATCTTGCAGGCCCTTGATATTTTTTCTTGGTGGATGTTTTTCTTTGAAAGTTTTGACTTTGGTAAATATTCCAACCTTTGTACTTCAACTTCTTTCTTAGTTTCTCTAGTCCCAAATCTCTTGTTTATTTTTTCTTTGTGTTTGTCTCCTTTCTTACTTCATTCATATTCTTAATACTATGCTCTCTTCTGTAGTGTTCGTTTGTGCTTTCTATGTCTGTTTGGTGTGCATGGTGGTGCATGCCTGTAATCCCAGCATTTAGGAGGCTGAGGAAGGAGGATCCTCGTGAGTTTGAGACCAGCCTGGGCTTCAAAGTGAGCTCAAGGTCAGCCTGAGCTGCCTAGTGAGACACTGTGTCAAAAAGACAATAGCAAAAGCAAAAAAATCTACATCTGTTTGGTGTCTTTTTACTCTAAATGCTTTTCATTAATTATCTCCTACATTCCCACCTTCTGATAACAGTTCAGATTTCAATCTGAATCCAAGACCTCTTTTCTAAACTCCCTGTGTACCGCACTTTAAGATACTTAACATTAGGAGAGAATGTTAGTTTATAGAGAACAAAATCTACTTTTGCTTTTAGTAAACAAAGACTTATAGTAGCATTATCATTGAGAGGGCTGGAGAAAATGGGCATAATCTGAGATTATTATTATTATTATTATTATTATTATTTTGGTTAGCTGTTATAGAGCAGCACTGTTCAGTGGGAAACTTACAGTAAGAAAGTACTGCCGTGTGCAGAATTGGGTGATTTAGGCAGGTATTGCTCCTTCTGTGTCATGAAACTACCTGCTGTCTTAGTTTTCAGTGCAGTTGATAGCTTTCAAACCGTATAATATCTGATATCCGGATCAGTAAGTGGATGCCCCCTGGTCTACATTTTGACACAAGGGTAAGAAGCAGACATAAAATATGACTGCTAAAGTTAATATAGAAAAAATATACTCACTTCTGTAACCAGACTTGTTAGGGAAAACAATAGAAATAGAAGAGGTTTAGCCTCTGCCTTTTAAATGTCACAAAAATTATTATAGTTAACGGTATCTGAGTCAAACTTGGAACCCTTTTACAAGGAGTCTCTCTCAAAGAGACTCCTTTGCCGCTTCCACAGCGAAAACATATGAAAAGGAACCCAGAATGTATGTAAAGTAACTTAGTTACAGTATCATGCACATTATTCCAAGTGGACATGACAGTAACCCTCTAACTCAGAATTTTTAAAATCAGAGCTATCACATTTATCTTTTCTCTGTTCATTAGCTGATACAGAGCAACACCACTCATGTGGGAAACTTGGGACATGGCTGGTCTAAACTAAGTATTAGCACACTTTCTACAAGAGCTAGACAACAAATAGTTCAGCCTTGGTGGGTCATTCTATTGTAGTTATAACTACTGAATGCAGCTGTACAGAGAAGCAGCTAAATCAGTGAACTCGGGAGTATTCGATTAAAACTCTATTAATGAAAATAGTGGACAAAATTTACCCATTGCCTAATCCAATTCCTGTTTTCTCATTTCATCCTCTTAGTTTTTCACCTAAATTATTGTAGTAATCTTCTCTTAGTTCTCTAATTTTC